GGTCCGGATGCGGGTCTGGACTCGCTCCGGGGCTCTGTCCCAGCTGGGCCAGCCTGGAGGCGGAGGTTGGGCCTGCCCTGAGCCCCGACGGGCTCCCTGCCGCTGGCGGAGCTCGCTAGCGCAGCGCTTGGCTGTGCAGCGAATGAGGCTGTGCGGCTGCAGCGTAGGAGTGAGCAATAAATACGATTTACGGTCGTGGCGCACCGGGAGTCCTTGCTCCTCTGCGGTGCCCCTTATGTTAGTGAGCACCCGGACGAGTTGGTGGGCGTTACGCCACACTTTCGACAGGCTCCTCGCAGCACCGCGCTCTTTGGTGTCGGAAGTGGGATGGTCCGTCGTTGAGGGAGTGATGCCTTCTCTGGGGAGGGCTGGGGAAACAGGCGGTGGAAGAGGGGGTGGACTGAGAGCCTGCGGAGGGACCTTGTCGTGGTGCGGGAAGAGTTTTGTGACGGGAGCAAGAAGGGAAAGCTGAAGAGAGGGAAAGGGCCAGGCGCGTTATGCTGCTTGCTGGGTACCTGCCTATGCTTTGCAATGAAGCGCTTGCAAGGAGGTAGAGAGCCAGCACGAAGCCGCAGAGCAAAAATGTAAGGAAGCGAAGGTAGAGAAGGCTGTATGGGAGAATAAAGCTGCTGAACTAGGCCGCTGAGTTAAATGTTTAGAGGGTAAGCAGCAGCCCTTGACTACTGAGAAAGCAGAAAGTCGTCGACAGAGGCTTCCTGAGGCATCCACCGCAGATCCCGTGAAGGTGTTCAGCACTATCTATGACCGCAATGAGGAAGGAAATATCTGGGGACTGCCCACCCTGGCCCCTTTACCCTCTAGATATGAGGACAAAGCAGATAGCCCAGTTCTGACTTGCTTGGAGGTTAAAACAAGAGCAGGCAGGGGCACCGGCGGGGGGGGGGTCCTGCCGGCCATGGCCACCTCCGGTGCCTCTACAGGCAGAGAACTGAGGTCCAATCTCATTCGAAAGTGTCACAGGATGAGAAGCAGGGCAGATTTGGACCAAATCGGTGTTACCCGTGAGTGCCCCGGCCCAACGAGCTGGGGGAGTCTGGGGGAAACCGATAGAGGGGCCCCCGGCGGCAGAGGTGCAGGCTTCCACCTCGACCACCCCTTTTCGGTGTCCAACAGTGGCAGTCCAAGTACATGTTAAATACCAAGTGGATTTTCTAGTAGATACAGGGGCACATGTCTCAATGATTAATAGTTGTGCGTATCGGGGAGCTCCTCCTCTTTCAACAGAGTGTCTCAGTTATTGGGGTAAATGGGAAGGTGGTTACTCACCCAGTAGTGAAAGCAAAATTAACGGGAGGATAGTACGTCCCACTGTGCTGTTGATGCACATGAATACTTTAGGCATGGCTGTTTTGCAAGGAGAACGCTGGATAGACAGCTGGGGAAAATGGGAAGTAGGGAACCCAATAAGTGATAACGTTGTTATGCCAATTAAGACGGTTTCACTGCTTCGGATGGTTTTCCCCTTGCCGGATCGTTGCATAACTACCCCGCGATATAAGATTTCTATTGATGCAGTAAAACCAATAACTAGTCTTATTAAAGAAGTGGAGGGGAAAGATATAACAATCAAAACCACTTCCCCGTGTAATTCTCCTGGATGGCCTGTGAAAAAGAGAATGGGATGTGGAAGTCAACCGTAGATGATCTTAAGTTAAATGCAGCCACCCAACCCCTTGCAGCCACTGTTCCCAGCCTTCCTGAGATTAATGCATCGATTCAGTCAAGAAATTTTATTTGTATAGCTGCCGTAGATGCTAAAGATAACGTTTTTCATGGTTCACATCCCAGAACAAGAAGAAAACAAGTTTGCTTTTACTTGGCAAGGGACACAGTATACCTTCACACGCTTACCCCAGGGTTATAAACACAGCTGTATTCTGGCTCACACACAGCTAGCCGAGGAAGTGGGGAAACTACCCATGCCCCCAGGGATAATGGTGTTACAGTGTACAGATGATATCTTCCGAGGAGGAAGTACAGGCAAGGAGGTGCAACAGGCACTGGTTTTAGTTGTCTTGCACTGACAGACATTAGGGATAGAAATCCCTATGGAGAAGCATAAGGGACCTACCCAGGAAATTACCTTTTAGGTGCTCAATGGATTAGTGGAGAGAATGTCACCTCCGAATCAGTTATAACATCCTTGCATCAACTCCCGGCATCTGTCAACAAAACGGAATTGAAAGGGGGTTTGGGCACATTGGGGTTTTGGCAAACATGGTTTTTGGCAAACACATGCTGGGTTTTAGCAGCACAGCCTGACCTTATATAATCTCCTTGAGAGATCTAGTGAAAGGAAAGGGGTCCCGAACGGGAAGCAGTCTTCTCCCTTCTGAAGGGAGAGGTGAGCGTATACCAGTCCCTAGGGCTGTTCACCCAACACAACGCTTCGTACCGCGTGTAATGATAGGGGAAAAGGGAGCCCAATGGGGCCCTTGGACGGGATTAACCCACCACCTTTGCCTCTAAATCATGGCAAAATGCCCCAAAAAATTATATAGTCTGTGAAAAAAGCATTGCTAGGGGCTTGTACTGCCCTGATGGAGCCCGAGGCACTGACATGAGACAGACCAGTAGTCCTCCGATTACCCCTACGATTGCCCCTACCTATTTTGAAAGCTGTAATGGATGGTAAGACTTTACCTTTTGGGGTAGCCCAGCAACCCACTGTGCAGCGATGGGCTCTGTATCGTCCCCACAGGGTCTCAGGTGATGGCAGTGTGGCTGCTGACGAAGTTACTGAAGAGAGAGCTAGGGTAGGCATGCCCCAGGAATACACCGAACGACCAACTCTCCCATCAAAGCAGCACCCAATTTTGACCCTAATAAGCTGGACGGGGTGCAGGGAGCCAAGGGCCAGTGGCAAGGGCCAGTGGCTGTAATATTAGCAGCCACCAGCGAGAGCTTTACAGCACCCACAGAGGGGTGCGCACAGCTGGCAGAGCTACAAGCAGTCCTGCTGGCTCTACAGCGCGGTGCCCAGACAGTTGTACGCGGGGTGGGTGGGCACAACACAGCGGCTTGGGCGCTGGCACCGGCGCGCAGGCAGGTAGGGAGCAGGGATGCGTGGCGAAGGTCTTTGCGAGAGCAGATTCCCCGTACAGCGCAGGAGCGACCTGTACGGATGGGCCAGGAGAAGAGCACTTCTCCTGCCGCTGGGTGGGACGCTCAGGATGACCCATTAGCAAAAACGGCCCTTTCGGTGGAGGGGTGCTCAAAGCACGCTAGCTCTACCCGGCCAGGCCAGGGGCTGCACGGAGGGTTGGGGCGTACGGGCAGGTGTGATCTGTATCAACACACAGTCTGGCGAGGTCGGCCAGTTCCTCGACGGGAAGCCCGGAGTGCTGTGAATAATTGCAATATGTGTAATGATGGGAAAAACGTCATCCATAAAGAGCAAGAGCGGAGTAAGGTGAGGAACAACAGAGGCGCATGGGAAGTATGGCAGGTGGCTTATACCGGAGCCTGGCGCCGCTCCGGCACCGGGCTCCCGACGGCCGCTGCTCTAAACGGGTCCGCTCCTCGGGTTATTCCATCTGGTAACAGCCCGTATTTTAAAAGTAAAGTAAATGAATGGTGTGAGCAACACGGAGTTAAACAGCCCTTCCAGGTCCTGCACCACCCGCAGAGTAACGCAGCCGTGGAGCGGAGGGGATGGTCTGCTGAGAAATCAACTGGGACGGCACCAGCAGGGCCCCAGCTGGAGGCAGCGATTATGGGGTGCAGTCTGGGCCCTGAATCGAGGGGAAACTCCCTGAGGAAGTCCCATAGCATGAGCCTTTGACATGGATTTATTCCCTGCTAACATGATTCCAGATAAGAGCCGTTACAGAAACGGATAAATTCTTTTCCATCCTTTTCCCTATCTAGGGCACAGAACAGCGTATAAAAGTGATTAAAAAATTAACACTAATTTTAGGAGAGGTGGCTAATCGGATAAATGAAGCTGTAACGGCCCTTGCTCCTCAAGTATCAGCAATACGGCAGATGGTATTACAAAACTGGATGGCACTTGATTTCACCCTAGCTGCCAAAGGGGAGGTTTGTGCCCTGACTGGTAAAAAATGTTGTTCCTATATACCTAAAAATACATGAAGCCATATAAAAAAAAATACATTAAAGTGACAGTGGTCCTTGTGGACATGGTTTTCTGGAACATTTGGGCATTCAGGTTCTCTGGTATTAGAAAGTATAATGTTTATTGCAATCATTTTATTAGATGTGTATGTAGTAGTTTTGCTAATAAGCTATTGCATGGCAGGTAGTACGCAACAATGGTGACAGCTCAAACACACCGAGTCTGCATCCCATTAAACTCCTGTCCCAGTGTGTGCTGCATATGAACCCTAGAGAAACGGTTTCTACAAAAATGACTTGTAACTGGTAAGGGGTGAACCGGCACTGCAGAAGCGCTCCCCTCCGCTAGAGCCGTGCGGGAAAATCAGTGATGGGAAGTGAAAAGAAGGGAGCTACAGGGAATAATAGGACTCGGTTGCATAAAAAGACAGTTTGGCTTGTCATTGCTGTAAAGCACTGACACTTTGGAAGAACAGCGAGGAAACTATAAAAGATTAAGGCCATTTTGGGCAGGGTGGACACCTGCTGCGGACACTGCCTGACCCCAGGATCCCACCCAGTGAGCAGAGGACACCCGCGCTGCGATCCCTCCTTGGGCATCAAGGGATTGCATTTCGTAAAACTGCAACCTACTTGTGAACCTGAAGCGCGTGTAGTTTGCTAATACAGTGCTTGGCTACAGCCAATTAGGCTGTGCAGCTGCAATGTAGGAGTGAGCAATAAATACTTATGATTTACGATCGTGCTGCACTGGGAGTCCTTGCTCCTTTATGGTGCCCCTTATGTTAGTGAACACCCAAAAGATACTCTGGGGACCTGTGGCTGCAACTAGTGCCAAGAGAGGTGGGGGACACTGCCCCAATGCCAAAAGCAGGGGCTGCCATCCTGTGCATCCCAGTTAGCTCTACACTGGCCATTGGGCCAGGAGGGCAAGGCAGGGCTCAGCGCTACTTCCAGCTGTGCGCCGTGAGCAGGGCGCCCGTGCCGGCTGGCAGGGCACGGCTGGGGGGCGAGGGGGCAGAAGGCCAAGGGCACTGCCCCACGTAACACCTCAGCACCAGCAAGCACAGGGGCTGAGCCCTGTCCCCAGAGCACAGCTGGGGCTGGAGGCAGCC